TGTGCATTGCATGAATATAATGTACAAGTTTCACGTTTTGAATGGAATTACTGAAATATTTTCAACCTTTTGATGATATTCTAATTTACTGGCCAGCACCTGTACATATATAAGAGTATATATACAGATATGTGTATATGTACAGATATGAGAGTATATATACAGATATGAGTATATATACAGATATAAGAGTATATATACAGATATAAGAGTATATATACAGATTATATATACAGATATGAGTATATTTACAGATATGAGTATATATACAGATATGAGCATATATACAGATATGAGTATATATACAGATATGAGAGTATATATACAGATATAAGAGTATATATACAAATATCAGCATATATACAGATATGAGTATATATACAGATATAAGAGTATATATACAGATATGAGAGTATATATACAGATATGAGTATATATACAGATATAAGAGTATATATACAGATATGAGAGTATATATACAGATATAAGAGTATAGATACAAATATGAGTATATATACAGATATGAGTATATATACAGATATGAGAATTATATATACAGATATAAGAGTATATATACAGATATGAGCATATATACAGATATGAGTATATATACAGATATAAGAGTATATATACAGATATGAGTATATATGCAGATATGAGTATATATACAGATATAAGAGTATATATACAGATATGAGAGTATATCTACATTTATAAGAGTATACATACAGATAAAACAGTATATATACAGATATTAGAGTATGTATACAGATATAAGAGTATATATACAGATTTAACCCTTTGATGCATAATGGTCACTACAGTGGACAGGTACTCAAAATTGTTATTTATTTATTTTTGCTATTAAGCACAGCTGTTGAAGACTTTATTGCATGTGAGCCTCTCCAGTTGGACTTCAGTAAGGCAAGCCAACATATTTCATGTTCAGATTGCACGCTGTCCACTGAGATGGACATGTAATAAAGTATTTGTAAATTAACAAAATGTTACAAAAATATTTGTTGAAATTTGTTTAATTCACACCTAAAGATGAATGAAAAAAATTGTTTAAAAAATAATGGTTGAAGATCTCATAATTCATGCATCAGAGGGTTAAGTGTATATGTACAGATATGAGACTATATATACAGATATGAGTATAAATACAGATATAAGAGTATATATACAGATATGAGAGTATATATACAGATATAAGAGTATAGATACAGATATGACTATATATACAGATATGAGTATATATACAGATATGAGAGTATATATACATATATAAGAGTATATATACAGATATGTGTATATGTACAGATATGAGAGTATATATACAGATATGAGTATATATACAGATATAAGAGTATATATACAGATATGAGAGTATATCTACATTTATAAGAGTATACATACAGATAAAAGAGTATATATACAGATATTAGAGTATGTATACAGATATAAGAGTATATATACAGATTTAAGTGTATATGTACAGATATGAGACTATATATACAGATATGAGTATAAATACAGATATGAGTATATATACAGATATGAGAGTATATATACATATATAAGAGTATATATACAGATATGTGTATATGTACAGATATGAGAGTATATATACAGATATGAGTATATATACAGATATAAGAGTATATATACAGATATAAGAGTATATATACAGATTATATATAGAGATATGAGTATATTTACAGATATGAGTATATATACAGATATGAGCATATATACAGATATGAGTATATATACAGATATGAGAGTATATATACAGATATAAGAGTATATATACAATATCAGCATATATACAGATATGAGTATATATACAGATATAAGAGTATATATACAGATATGAGAGTATATATACAGATATGAGTATATATACAGATATAAGAGTATATATACAGATATGAGAGTATATATACAGATATAAGAGTATAGATACAAATATGAGTATATATACAGATATGAGTATATATACAGATATGAGAATTATATATACAGATATAAGAGTATATATACAGATATGAGCATATATACAGATATGAGTATATATACAGATATAAGAGTATATATACAGATATGAGTATATATGCAGATATGAGTATATATACAGATATAAGAGTATACATACAGATATGAGAGTATATCTACATTTATAAGAGTATACATACAGATAAAAGAGTATATATACAGATATTAGAGTATGTATACAGATATAAGAGTATATATACAGACTTAAGTGTATATGTACAGATATGAGACTATATATACAGATATGAGTATAAATACAGATATAAGAGTATATATACAGATATGAGAGTATATATACAGATATAAGAGTATAGATACAGATATGACTATATATACAGATATGAGTATATATACAGATATGAGAGTATATATACATATATAAGAGTATATATACAGATATGTGTATATGTACAGATATGAGAGTATATATACAGATATGAGTATATATACAGATATAAGAGTATATATACAGATATAAGAGTATATATACAGATTATATATACAGATATGAGTATATTTACAGATATGAGTATATATACAGATATGAGCATATATACAGACATGAGTATATATCCAGATATGAGTATATAAACAGTTATGAGTATATATTCAGATATAAGAGTATATTTACAGATATGAGTATATATACAGATATGAGCATATATACAGATATGAGTATATATACAGATATGAGAGTATATATATAGATATAAGAGTATATATACAGATATCAGCATATATACAGATATGAGTATATATACAGATATAAGAGTATATATACAGATATGAGTATACATGCAGATATGAGTATATATACAGATATAAGAGTATATATACAGATATGAGAGTATATCTACATTTATAAGAGTGTACATACAGATAAAAGAGTATATATACAGATATTAGAGTATGTATACAGATATAAGAGTATATATACAGATTTAAGTGTATATGTACAGATATGAGAGTATATATACAGATATGAGTATATATACAGATATAAGAGTATATATACAGATATGAGAGTATATATACAGATATAAGAGTATAGATACAGATATGAGTATATATACAGATATGAGTATATATACAGATATGAGAGTATATATACAGATATAAGAGTATATATACAGATATGTGTATATGTACAGATATGAGAGTATATATACAGATATGAGTATATATACAGATATAAGAGTATATATACAGATATAAGTGTATATATACAGATTATATATACAGATATGAGTATATTTACAGATATGAGTATATATACAGATATGAGCATATATACAGACATGAGTATATATCCAGATATGAGTATATATACAGTTATGAGTATATATTCAGATATAAGAGTATATTTACAGATATGAGTATATATACAGATATGAGCATATATACAGATATGAGTATATATACAGATATAAGAGTATAGATACAGATATGAGTATATATACAGATATGAGTATATATACAGATATAAGTATATATACAGATATGAGAGTATATATACAGATATAAGAGTATATATACAGATATGAGTATATACACAGATATAAGAGTATATATACAAATATGAGTATATATACAGAGTATATATACAGATATGAGTATATTTGCAGATATGAGTATATATACAGATAGAAGAGTATATATACAGATATGAGTATATATACAGATATAAGAGTATACATACAGATATGAGAGTATTTCTACATTTATAAGAGTATACATACAGATAAAAGAGTATATATACAGATATGAGAGTATGTACACAGATATAAGAGTATATATACAGATTTAAGTGTATATGTACAGATATGAGAGTATATATACAGATATGAGTATATATACAGATATAAGAGTATATATACAGATATGAGAGTATATATACAGATATGAGTATATATACAGATATAAGAGTATAGATAAAGATATGAGTATATATACAGATATGAGTATATATACAGATATGTGTATATGTACAGATATGAGAGTATATATACAGATATGAGTATATATACAGATATGAGCATATATACAGACATGAGTATATACCCAGATATGAGTATATATACAGTTATGAGTATATATTCAGATATAAGAGTATATTTACAGATATGAGTATATATATATATATATGAGTATATATACAGATATAAGAGTATATTTACAGATATGAGTATATATACAGATATGAGCATATATACAGATATAAGTCTATATACAGATATAAGAGTATATATACAGATATGAGTATATATCCAGATATGAGTGTATATCCAGATATGAGTATATATACAGTTATAAGTATATATACAGATATAAGAGTATATTTACAGATATGAGTATTTATATACACATATGAGTATATATCCAGATGAGTGTATATATATATATATATATATATATATATATATATATATATATATATATATATATATATTTATACCTACATATATGAGTATATATACGGATATGAGTATATATACAGTTATGAGTATATATACAGATATGAGTTTATTTACAGATATGAGTATATATATATATACATATATGAGTATATATTCAGATATGAGTATATATACAGATATAAGAGTATATATAAATAAAAGTGTACAAATCTGCCTTATTTCCTGAAACAAGAGCACCAGAGCTTTTTTCCCCACTGAGCTCGTCTCACAAGGTAGTCATTTGTAGTACAGACCACTACAGATGTGTTGAAAAAATGAGTGAACATGGTTTTTAACAACAAACCTTTTTTAAACAATTTCAGTAAAAATATTCATAGAAAGCTGATTATTCTTCAGTCGTCACCCTTGTGAATTAATCCCTAAACACTTATTTAACGACTGATAAGGGCTGTTTTTGTGGAAAGCCACTTCACAAAAACGTTTTGTTTTTTACAATAACAGCATTAATGACAGACATAGCTTTAGCATTATGTGGGCTGTGCTACAGACAGCAACAGGATTTATATGACTTGTTAGCAGAAATGACAATAGCTCTCCTAGAATAAAGCACTACAAGCTGAAGAAAGTGGTTGTTGAGCAGCTGCACACTGGGGGCTGTTATCAACGTGCCTTTATCAAAGTCAGCTGGAAATAGAACGTCTGAAGCACCTCACAGAACAAGGAGCCTTCTGACAGGTGGAGGGAGAGAAATGCATCCAGAGGCTGATTAAACAAGATGATTCCTCTCAAAGGCTCTGAAACACAACACTGCTCCGCAGATGTCTTCATTCTACATTTATCAGCTACGAATAACAAAATGGCTCCATTGTTTCATAAGCCTGTTTCATTTTTTCTTGTTTTGAAATGATTAAATACGCACTTAGGATTTTCAAAATAAAATGTACTTTAATGAATATGCGCAATAAAGAAGCTATACAGTAAGCCCTTGCAGCAGACATGTTTGATCAGTTTTGCAGTAAACAAGATGTTTTTTATCCCCAGGCTATATCCAGACCTCAGCAGCCCTCAGATACGACTCTTTAGCTTCTTTCTTGTTCTTCAAAGGCTGCCTCTCTCTTTTCTGGGAGTCATGCTTCAGTGGGTGTCCTGGTAAAGTCTTTTTGACTTCCAGTGGCTCCTTCTCACTACCGGCATTCACAGCACATGTCCAGTCAGGCTGCCGACCCACTACCATGCCCAGAGTGGGCAGAGAGGTTGTGCTGCTCACTTCCCTAAAGCCGAAAGAAGACATGAGAGAGGGGCTGTCAGGCAGGAAAGGTTTGTACCTCCTTTGCATACTTTGACATATACTCCAGGACATCTTCTGCCTCAGCTTTAGTGCCTGACAAATCTTCTTCCAGCCTAGGTGGTTCAGTTCTAGCAAGTTGAGCAAAATGCAGAAAACTCCAACACAGAACATGAAGAGCAGGAAAATAGTTTTCTCTGTGGGCCTTGAAACGTAACAGTCCACCGGCTGGTGGCAAGGCGATGAGGTGCAGACGAAATGAACTGGGACCTGAAAGCCAAACAGTTTCCACTGAGCCAAGACGAAGCCAACCTCCAAGACAGCTCGCAAACACACATGGAAAATGTAGCATTTGGACAGAACCCCGGACCTCGCTGCAGTCTGCTCCCTGAAGGTGCAGGTTTTAACCTGACTTACTGAGATGTTTGGTTCTTCTCTCTGGAGGATCTGAGCAGTGATGTCCTCCATCTCATCTTCAAGGCTGTGACCAAGGTGCTTATGAGAGCGGACAGAGCAGCTGTCTGAATCACAGCTGAAATTACAGTCCTCCTTGCTGTTTTGCCCTGCATCAGGGCCATCCTGATGTGGAACATGTCCAGGTCCTTCCACAAACCCCTGAGATTTGTGGTGAGGTTGTTTGGACAGGTTGTGCCACGTGTAGATGATGAAACAAAGCGATGGCGTTGAGACGCTCACTATGTGGAAGACCCAGAAGCGAGGGTGTGAGATAGGAGCAAATGCATCGTAGCAAAGTGTGGAACATCCTGGCTGCAGAGTGTTGCACACAAACATCTCCTGCTCGTCGGTGTAGACGTCCTCAGTCGCTACAGCAACAACAAGTAGACGGAAAATGACCATCACCGTGAGCCAGAGTCGTCCGATCATAGTAGAGTAATGGTGGACAGCATCCAGAAGACGTTTCAGCAGAGTCCACTCAGTCATTCTGGCGCGTTGCTGCTGGCTGCCTTCAGGAGGTAGGAGCTCCTAGCCGTCTAAACGGTTATCTTAATCAACCTTCTAGAAGGGTCTTCAATAAGTACACTTGTTCTACATCCTTTTTGGTTCTGTTTTCCTTTCTTCCTCTTTAGTCTAAATGTTTCCCTCATTTAAACTGCTGTTCACCTTTAAAGGGCTGCAGCAAGCTTCTTCTGTCCCTGAATGCTTGCTAGTACCCCTGCCTGCCTTGGGAATCACTGAGCTGGAGCTAGATAACCACTAATCTTTCTCAGATAAGCAAGTTCACTTGGAACACTCGTGTCTGACTTGTTAGGATGCATATTTAGGAGTAAGAGACTTTCTAGTGTGAGTGACTGATAGCACAAGCGACAGAGTAAGATTAGACCTCTGACAGCTAAGAGGCTCATCTTTTCCTGGAAAGACACACGGGGAAAAACAAAGACCAGTAAAAATAGAACCTGCCTTGTTCGTGTCATGAAAACTCCAAATTATTTGTATTTGGGACAAAACAGGTAAAATAATACCGCTGACCTAAGTTTGGTCATGTGTCTGCAGACTTCGGTTTCAGGGATGGGTTGGACCTCCTCTCTCTAGCCACTTTATCTGTCAGAAAAGCTGAAAGATGCTCTGAGCTTAAATCACAGAATCCCCAAGATGAAGAGCTTAGTGGCCTCCTATCTTTTCCACCTCAAAACAGTTCCTGTGTTTATTTCCAAAGTCTTAATCCTGTCACTGGCACAACTATTCAACTACCACGACCTTCACATTTGAGCCATGTTACTTTCCATAATGTATGTTTACTCATGAAGAAAAAATTACTTAACAAATGTTTTATATCTAGATGCATACAGACAATGCTTTAAGTACTCCGGTTTCCCATCACAACAGGCCCTGTTCGTCGCTTTGGATAAAAGCGTCTGACAGATTAGTTTATGTTGATTTATTCGGCAAAGTGTGGTTGGAGGTAGTTACTGAGAGCCTTAAGCCTACTTCACACTGGAAGCATCAAAAGCACTGCGTCAGATAGACTCTATTATAGCGAATGGGGGTGATTCAAGCCAGCAATGTTCAGGAAGCAGCACACCGCGCCTCATTGATGGCATCCGGCTCTAGTTTTGTCGCAAGCCGCTTCTGGGAAATGTCAATTTCCACAGTTAACATAGGGCTAGACAGGAAATCACACACGGTTTCAGTGAAAAATCCAGAGCAATTTTCAAACTAAAAGTACTGCAGCAATGCTGTTTCATATACACAGTGGGTAAACTTACAGCCAAAGCTGTTTGATTCTTTTGCGTTTCCTTTCCTCTGTTTTCATCCCCTCATGTGGACCGAGGAGCAGCCCTGCAGCACTGCTCTCCTTCTGGCTCCGCCCTGAAGCGCCCAGCTGGGGGATCACAGTCAGTGGCTGGTTAAAGGTCCCAAGCACAAAAGACCTTCTGGAGCACTTCCTGGGGGAGCAACAGTTCAGAGCTGCCTTTCCTCCAACCTGTTGTCTCCCAGTTCGGACTTGAAACTGTGATACTGAGTCGAGATAAGAGTAATTAGTGTTTTCTGTCTTACATTTTGAGCGTCTGAGCTCTTTTTGGTTAATTCTGCTATCACGGGCAAAGACTCGTGTTCATTTTTGGCCTTTGGCATAAGATAAACAAAAGGTGTCACATGTCCTCCATGTTACCCCAGGTTCCCTAGATGCCTGGGTTGTAACAGGTATGGAAAGTATTCAGACCCCCACCAATTTCTCGCTCTTTGTGTACACCCATACTTACAGAAAAACACAGAATATTAGAAATGAATGCAGATGTATTTAAAAATGTAAGCCGTATTACATTAAAACCACTAGCACTTAGAGAAAATCTAAGTTTACATCCTTCTACTCAGGGAGCAGTTCTTTTACTTCCCCTTCCTCCTTGGTTTCAGAACCTAACACATAAGGCTGCATCTCTGAAACCATTTTGGTCTATCAGCATTCAGTTAGGTCAACAAAGACAGCTGCTGGCCAATCAGAGGTGAGCTGTTTTTAACGTGTACAACTAATAATCCTATTTTTTCTGAGCGCCCCCCCAAAAGCTATTTTTCTTACAGAAAACACCTCACTAGGCATTCATTTGTACTAATGAACACAGCAGATTTAGTGGAAGAAAAATGTGAATAAGATATACCAGGCAACGCTATTTAAAAAAAAATAGATTTGTTTTTAGAATTCACTAATCAAAGTTTCCCAGTTTGTACACATTTACTTTCCCACGTCCGAATATCACTTTTAACACCCTTCTAATAGTCTCTGTAGACGTGGGTCTATGTTGGCTCACATCTATGGACCGTCAAAGCGTAACTGTAGTACAGTTGTGGATCGGAATCCGGCAACATCTCCTGGTGAACTCTTTTTAAACATCCAAGGTGACACAAACAAGTTCCCCTCACATGTGATGAGAAACCTACCAAAACATGCTTTAATGATATCGCAAACACACACGTGAAGTATTTCTTTGTAAATGTCCAGCTGTTCAAGCTTCCTCCAATGGGTCCTAAGTAGAAGTTGGTTCTATGAAAGCTATACCATAATTCTGTTAAAAACAATTCAAAAGAAAAGTGAGATTTCCATTTGTTGCATTTCAGCATGTTTCCATAACCGTTACTTGAGCCAGTTTTGTTATTTCAGTGACCATTAAAGATTTATTTTTCTTTATTAGAAGACTTGATGAGGAAAGCATCACATTTCAGTTTTCATAAATGCACATATTTCATAACCTTTCCTTTATTACTTACACAGTATTTTATTGTGCAGTGCTGATGAACGCTGAGTCATCCCAGTAAGGCGGTTCCTTTGGTCTGTATACATGAAAACTGGAATGTTCTGGGAGAAGGCCATCCCAGGTATTTGGTGGCACCAGGCTCTGACCTCTGGAAACAGCCATACAGACTTTCACCAGGCCTGTTGAAGAGTGTTAATGGTACAAAGCCTACAGTGTGTTGTTTTTCACTCTGAACATGTAATGCAACAACAAAAGTTCACATCATCACAATAAAAATTTGTTATTTTTTACATGCAGTTTTTCCATCTGTCTGTACAGGCGCTGTAGAACATAGTATGGAATGATTCATACACAGAAGCTCAGAGTCAACACACACAGTTTGTTGCTGTAGTTAATCACCAGGAGTTTAGGTCATTTCATCCACAAACCAAAAACTAAATCTGGCTGTAGTTTGTGTCGAGTGTGACAGTAACCTCTTCTTCTAGTTGATGTCTTTTAAATTTCACTTTTTCTCTAGTCATTCAGGTCAAAGTTGAGCTTCATCCAGTCCTTCCCTATTGGTTGTTCCATTGTTTTAGTCCTCCCGGGTCATCTCGTCAGTCTCCTTAACACAAGAAGGCATTTATAAGATGAGTCTCTGGCCCAGGATCTTGCGGTTGATCTCAGCCAAAGCCACAGAGAACACAAACGCTTTCTCATCAGAGAGACCTGCGTAAATGTCCACTTCCTTTTCTTGCTTCTCTGTGAACAAAAACCAAACAGACACACAGTTGTATTCAAAAGCAGTCATTACCGTCTCAGTGGCCTAGTGCACCACGTTAAACACACGTTGGAGCCCTTATAACAGGGTTACTTTATATTTTCTATTATAAAAGGAAGATATTTATTTATTTAGATATTTAGCCTCATGAGATGTACCATCTCATTTTCACAAGGGTCCTTGTTTACAGAACAAAAAAGTGGCAGAAGGCAGCCAAAAGCATATGCAATTATTGAAAAAGAGAAATATTTTTTAATAATAATAATGAATCAATAATCACAAAAAAACTATTACACACACACACACACACACACACACACACACACACACACACACACACACACACTAAAGCCCCCGGGGGTATTTGATTTGATTTTTGTCTTTAACTTAGGAAAACTGTTGTTTTGGGCCCATTTTTATTTTCTGTGAAATGATTGTAATGTAAAGCATTCTTGTTCGTTCAATACAGGGTTACACTTTCCTTAATCTTTGTGTCTGTGTCACGAGTCACAAACTGCTCCCGGAGGTGAATCCTAAAACGGGTCCAAATTAAATCTGAAGTTACTGAAATTCAGTAATCTGAACTAGGTGTTACATGTGCACGTGTAAATGCTGCAGCAACCATTAGGTGTACAGTCAGGTCCATAAATATTGGGACATCGACACAATGCTAACATTTTTGGCTCTATACACCACCACAATGGACATGAAATGAAACAAACAAGATGTGCTTTAACTGCAGTCTGTCAGCTTTTATTTGAGGGTATTTACATCCAAATCAGGTGAACGGTGTAGGAATTACAACAGTTTGCATACGTGCCTCCCACTTGTTAAGGTACCAAAAGTAATGGGACAATCTCAGCTGTTCCATGGCCAGGTGTGTGTTATTCCCTCATTATCCCAATTACAATGAGCAGATAAAAGGTCCAGAGTTCATTTCAAGTGTGCTATTTGCATTTGGAATCTGTTGCTGTCAACTGTCAAGATGAGATCCAAGGAGCTGTCACTATCAGTGAAGCAAGCCATCATTAGGCTGAAAAAACAAAAGAAACCTGTCAGAGAGATAGCAGAAACATTAGGCGTGGCCAAACCAACAGTTTGGAACATTCTTAGCAACACCAAAAGACCCGGAAGACAGCGGAAAACAACTGTGGAGGATGACCGAAGAATCCTTTCCCTGGTGAAGAAAACACCCTTCACAACAGTTGGCCAGATCAAGAACACTCTCCAGAGGGTAGGTGCATCTGTGTCAAAGTCAGCAATCAAGAGAAGACTCCACCAGTGTGAATACAGAGGGTTCACCACAAGATGTAAACCATTGGTGAGCCCCCAAAACAGGAAGGCCAGATTAGAGTTTGCCAAACAACATGTAAAAAAGCCTTCACAGTTCTGGAACAACATCCTACGGACAGATGAGACCAAGATCCACTTATACCAGAATGATGGGAAGAGAAGAGTATGGAGACGGAAAGGTCCTGCTCATGATTCTAAGCATACCACCTCATCAGTGAAGCATAGTGCTGGAAGTGTCATGGCGTGGGCATCCAGTGGAACTGGTTCTGTTGTATTTATTGATGATGTGACTGCTGACAAAAGCAGCACGATGAATTCTGAAGTGTTTCGGGCAATATTATCTGCTCATATTCAGCCAAATACCTCAGAACTCATTGGACGGAGCTTCACAGTGCAGATGGACAATGACCCAAAGCATACTGCAAAAGCAATCAAAGAGTTTCTGAAGGGAAAGAAGTGGACTGTTTTGCAATGGCCAAGTCAATCACCTGACCTGAATCCGATTGAGCATGCATTTCACTTGCTGAAGACAAAACTGAAGGGAAAAAGCCCCAGGAACAAGCAGGAACTGAAGACTGTTGCAGTAGAGGCCTGGCAGAGCATCACCAGGGATGAAACCCAACGTCTGGTGATGTCTACGTGTTCCAGACTTCAGGCTGTAATTGACAGAAAAGGATTTGCAACCAAGTATTGAAACGTATAAGTTTGATTTATGGTTCTTATGCTGTCCCATTACTTTTGGTTCCTTAACAAGTGGGAGGCACACACGCAAACTGTTGTAATTCCTACACCGTTCACCTGATTTGGATGTAAATACCCTCAAATAAAAGCTGACAGTCTGCAGTTAAAGCACATCGTGTTCGTTTCATTTGATATTACGGATGCAAATTATCGAGTAATTCATTAATCGATAGTTGTTTCATCTTATCGATCGATGATCGATAAGCGGCAATTTTTCTGAAAAATTGAGTTAACCTCTGTATAGATTCCATCTACTATGTATGCAACATAAAATGCCATCTTCTATATGATATAAAGAAAAAACGCAAATAATATTCCTTAATCAAAGATTTATTCTGGGATCAGGTGACGGCAGGGAGTAACATTTGGTAGCAGCTACTTGAAATGAAAATACATTTTTGCTTCTCATCTGCGACATTCGAACATAAATAGCAGCAGCATAAAATATACATTCCTGAAAAGAAAAATAGAATATAGGCTACTTTAACATAGTGCACTGTTTCTATGAAGAATAATAAAATAAATTCTGTTAAGCAAATAAGGTGTCTCATGTGGACCATCAGCAGTATTTATAATCCCTTTTTAACTGGGAAATGTGACAATATCACAATTACATTGGTAAACCAAAACTGTAGCTCAAGTTAACTTAAAATATAGGCTCCCTGATGACAGTCATCATAAAACAAACAACCAAAACATCCCTAGTGCTTCTCATAGCATAGGTAGACTTATCTATTTTTGTTCAAGAATATCAGCAAATCCACATGGTCAGGAGTAAGTTGTGTGCACAGCCTGTTAACAGTTAGGCCAGCTGCTGAGAAGGGACCACATAGGCCACTATGCTCAGAAGGGACTGATGTGCCTGGTATGGCCAAGTATTTTCGTGCCAGGTGCAATTAATTAATTTGAATAATTTCTTATCGACAATTAATTGATTATTGATTAATTGCTTGCATCCCTATTTGATATCCATTGTGGTGGTGTATAGAGCCAAAAATGTTAGCATTGTGTCGATGTCCCAATATTTATGGACCTGACTGTAGATTCTGTGTCATCCTGGACATGACCCACCTGACCTTTAATATAAAAAAACAGCTGGGCATTTCTGGTTATCTTGAAGACATTTATCCCTAATTATTATTATTATCATCAAATAAAATCTTTAAAAATCTGAATATGTTATTTTCTGGACATTTTTTCCTACTTTTGTTTCTCATAGTTGAGGTATACCTATGATAAAAATGACAGGCCTCTCATCGTTTTAAGCGGGAGAACTTGCACAATTGGAGGCTGACAATGTTTTTTGCAGCGCTGCAAGTACACAAACAGTGGGTCAAGAAAAGAATCACCTCCTTTTCAAAGACTTCAAGCATGCTTTGATCTGTGGTCAAACTAAAGTTTGTAAAAAAGAGATTTCTGATCATTAATGAGCTAAAATTGTGATTTGTTTTACCCTTATCTTCTTCCTGTTTCTTCAGCCCCACTGTTTTAGGTCTTCCTCGTCCCCTTCGGATGGTATCAGACTGACTGTTGGCTCTAGGTCTTCTACGGTTCTCCATGTCACAGGTTAGATGAGAGCCAATCCTTTCCCTGCGGATACGCTCTGTTCTTCTCCGCTTAAAGTCCAGCTTGTCTAAAGCAGAAATTGATAGAACAACAATCAGAAGGGATTTGTAGCTCATCTGTTTCCACAGCATTTTCAAACTCTGTACCCGACCCAAACCAAACGGTGCATCTGGCTGTTTTCGTGGTGCTGCTATGGCTGTAACATCAGCGTAGAGTTCTAGCTGTGTTCTTGTGAGCTTATAAAAGCATCCAAGCTAATTTCGTTAATTAGTTAAGAGAAAACTAATAAATACGCCTGAAAACAATTCTTACCTTTAGCAGAATTTTGCACACTTTTTACTATAGGGCACTGAGTGTTTAAACAAGAGTATAAAGTGTGTAGTGTGGGGGTTTACATCCTTAAAACATCTGTAACAACTGTAAAAAATACAGCTGCCTACTTCGGTATTTCACCTATTGTGGGCTATTTTTGGAACGTAACCCTTGCGATAAACAACAGACCACTGTACTACTTAATAGATTGACATAAGGTTACCTCAATTATTCGACTGATTTTTCAGACAATGAGAAAAGCCCAGTTTTTGAGATTTCTGGAAAACCTCCAGGTTTGTAAAGTCTTGCACACATCCACAGACATAAAAGTGTTTGCTCCACATTCAGCTTTAATCACAACTACATATGATGCAATTGGGTCTGTGAACCAGTCCTGCACAGATGCAGTCTAGAGGCCTCAGTTCAGTTCATATTTGTACCAATAACATCTAATTCATGTAAACAGATCAAATGAATTGTTGGCAAGAACCTTTTTCTTCTGGCTTTTGCCATGAAAACGGACTGACACATCTTACTGTGTACAGCTCTTCATTGGTTATCGTTCCTGCTGTTTAGTAAACTTGACCATCAATCAGTGACTCGTGCTGTTCAAAGGGAGAACAGCAGCAGAGTCTGAAAATGTTCTCCACTCTGATCATTTACATTAAAAGGAAACATAGTATATACACTTTTTGCTGTTGCCATGTGGGTCTCTACTGCCTTTCCCTTGAAATGATGTCACAATAAGGAAAATTAGCAAATAACCCTGAATAATCTTACCCGCTATAGCTGGTGGGGGGCACTCATTTAGTTTAGCGTTTAGCAGTTTCCTGCTGATGAATACAAAGCCACATGGACAGGACTTACAGGCAACTGGAATCTAAAGAGAGAGAAAGTTACACACTTAGAAACACACAACAGGGCATAGGTCAAGTAAGAAATGGAAGTAAGACATTATGTGGAAATATACGGTAGTACAACTGCAAATTTGTGTAGATTTAAAATCACCCAGGCCACGATAAAGCTAAGTGATGGAACAAACAGCAACTAGACTTCTACAGTTTCGCCTCTGATGTGAGTTACACCAAACAGTTGACTGGAATCACAAGTCACTGATCCCTTCATCCACCCCAAGTCAGCTGGGTTATTCTACAGTCGTTTACCAACTTTCACACAAACGGAAGTTTCGTGAATTTACAAATTTACTCACAAATGGCCTTCACCTATGGTCATGAGCTTTGGGAAGTGACTGAAAGAACAAGCGGAAATGATTTTTCCCTGCAGGGTGTCTGGGCTCTCCCTTAGACATAGGGTGAGAAGCTCAGTCATCCGGAGAAGGCAGGGAGTACAACCGCTGCTGCTCCTCCACATCAACAGGAGCCAGTTGAGGTGGCATGGGTCAGGATGCCTCCTGGATGCTTCCATGGTTAGGTTTTCCAGGTATTTCCAACCAGGAGAAGACCTAAAGGAAGACCCGGGACACACTGGAGGGACTATGTCTCTCGGCTGGCCAGGGAACACCTTAGGATTTCCCCGAAGGAGCTGGCCCAAGTGACTGAGGAGAGGGAAGTCTGGGCCTCCCAGCTTAGGCTACTGCTTCGCAACCCTACCCCGGATGACTGGCTGAAAATGGATGGATGGACTCACAATTGACCTAGATAAGAGAAAACCTTTAGTCAGCAGTTGTGAGGACAAAACTATCTTGAGGTTTATACACACTGGTCATACTGATTCTAGATCAGTGTTGAGAGATTGTTGGGGGAGATGCGAGATGTAGGAGAATAGATTATTTGTAGCATTTTTTACGCTGGCCCTAACGAAGCAACATGAAAAGTGGAATTTGCCACAACTAAAGCCTAATTTATACTTCTCTGTAACCTCCAAAAGGGAGACACACAGGCGGACACATTTTGCCCTCATACTTCTCCGTCTCCTGGGGAGTGTTGCAAAGCAATTCCCTGACAGGACAACAGAGGGCATAGAGCTGTTCTGTGGTATCCTGTCATGTATCTGGTCCAAGACAGTGTGTATATATAGTGTTTTTTTATACAAGAGACTTTTTAACACAGACAAATTTGTCTCTCATTCACCTCCACCTCATCCTGCACTCACCACCTCTAAACCCATGTTTCCTGCCATTTCAGTCTATGAATAAATCGCTCGCTGCATATTTTTTCACTCTTCCAGTCACAGGGGAATTAAAGGTTTATATTTTTAGTTTTTTCGCGAGGTATTCTTCAAGCTTCTTCGTGTCTGCCGCTAGTTATCCTCGGTTCTCTTTACATCTTTGAGGGCACAATGGCGACGGTGTAGAAGACCATTCACAAGCTTACGATCGCTGTCTCGATGGACGAATATTTAGAAAAGAGAGCTCGACTCCATTCGTCCTGGCAAGGGCTCTCCAGCAGGCTCGCATGGTCGCATGATGGCTTTTGTGCGGCCGTCCCGACGCAGACGGAGAAGTATAATTTAGGCTTGAGCCTAACCAGAATCAGGAGAAGATGCAGCTGAAGCTTACATTGGCTCCCAGTGTTTTCTTCACTGTAGGAAATGGATAATAATGGCTATTTGATGGGAAAAGATTGCCGACCCCGATCTTCTCATAAACCGAGATTCCTTTCAAACAGAACATGCACAGAGAGCAACCTTTGAAAGGGTTATCCCAATACGAGTTTACACGACATGGCTGCGCAGTGGTTAGAGCTGTTGCCTTGCAGCAAGAAGGTCCTGAGTTCGCTTCCCGGCCTGGGATCTTTCTGCATGGAGTTTGCATGTTCTCCCCGTGCATGCGTGGGTTCTCTCCGGGTACTCCGGTTTCCTCCCACATTCCAAAAACATGACTGTTAGGTTGATTGGTCTGTCTAAATTATCCTTAGGTGTGTGTGTGTGTGTGTGTGCATGATTGTTTGTTCTGTGTGTGTCTGTGTTGCCCTGCGATGGACTGGCTCTCTGTCCAGGGATTTTGCTTTATATGTTCGTAAATTGAAGATCATTTGTCTTCTGAAGTATCGATTTGTTTAGGGAATGTTCAAGAATGTGATAGTGTGCGAAGTTAGTTGATAAAATGTAAGAAGTGTGAGCGTACACAAGCTAGGCTAATTGCTAAGCATAATGTTGAAGACATGCCAGTCAGTATTAGGGGTCGACCAATTAATCAGTTGGCCGATTAATCGGGCCAATGTTTAGCTTTTTTTTTCACCATCGGCAGACAAGCCTCTTTATGCTGGTGAAGGTTTGCAGGTCGTCCAGCTCACGGTAATCCAAAATGGTTCAAATGAAGGCAACTGGACTTCTTTGGTGTCTTGAAGACGTTTTGCCTTTCATCCGAGGAGCTTTGTCAATTCTAACTGGAATATTAAAGAGTCAAGCTTATAAACTGTGGCTGCCTATTTTTATTTAACGAGCCGAAACTGCTCTGGGTACCCTTCCTCTTTAAGCCTCTTTAGTAGAACCAATTTAAAGTCAGATACATCCGGGGGCAGCCCGCTGCTTGGGGCAAGAACCCCAATCCAAAACATTGGGAGTTTTTCCTCTGAGTAAAAGGTAAGGCTTCAAAACCCTACAGCTGTACATTTAGTGTAAATTTAAAGTAAAATGTGAAATACTTACTTACATAGCTGAGAGAAAGAAAAAACAAGCCGTAATAACCTCTGGTAACAGGTAGAAAGTTGCTAATGCTAGCATGTTGCCAACTTTACTATCAACTGCTTGTTTGCTTAACATTTTAGTGCTTAACATATTAGCTCCAGTTATATAAGTTAAATTGTTTTCCTGTGTGAGAGTCGGCAGAATTTCCCTCTGAGGATGGAGGAGAGGACAGGAGAGACTCATGCTGTGTTTCAGTTGTCCTCAGAACTGAGAATTTCCAAGCAGAAAATGAGGTAACGGGCTCGTTTTGCGGTCCAGCTTCCAACTCAGAAAAAATGGATGCCACCAGTGTTGTTAAGCACTAAACCAAATGAATTATACAGGGTGGGCCAGTTATATGGATACACCTTAATAAAATGGGCATGGTTGGTGATATTAATGTCCCTTTTGTGGCACATTAGTATATGTGAGAGAGGCTTTTCAAGATGGGTGGTGACCATGGTGGCCATTTTGAAGTCGGCCATCTTGGATCCAATTTTTGTTTTTTTTTTTCCATAGGAAGAAGGTCATGTGACTAGGGCTGGGGGTAAACGATAATTTTTAAAATCAATTATTCTGACGATTATTTCATCGAATAGTCGACTATTCCAATGACTATTTAGACGATTAATTTAGCGATTATTTTCTTATTGCACAATTAATAAAAACAAGAAAATCTCAAATAAATTCCTCAAAAAATTGATAAATTGTTACTGTAAGAGAATAAACACTACAGGCCTTCCATTTTGTATAACACTGCTTTTATTGTGTTGGTTGGTTATGTTCTGGTGACGTGTAGAACTTGGGGAGTGCAGGCTACTGCCTGAGAGGTGGTTGGAGACTGAGTGTCTCCATGCTGCTTTGTTTTGGTCACTTATGTGCAGGAGGTGAGTGATGTTACGACCCTTCCTGGGGAGTTTGGCTCGTGTGCAAAAAGGAAGGGACAATAACGTGGGATTAAAAGGTTAAAATGATGATCAGGTTTATTTACAACAACAAAAAAGCATAAATCTTTCCATCCACAGGTTGGGAATAATAGGCTCGACACACGGGAGGCGACATCACCTCTCCTCCATTCATTTTCAATGAGACATGCGCGACAAAGCGATAATCGCAAATACCAAGCATGATGCCAAGCAAAACGCGAAAAACGTGTGTGTGAAATTTTGCGCTCGTGCACAGGCGACCAAGCGACGCGATCCCAGAAAGTTGAAACATTTTCAACTTTTCATCACTGTCGCTCGGACGAGGACCAATCAACGGAAGTTTCATTCACTGACCAATGAGCGGACAGGATGCTCTGTACATCTCTGAGCAAACATGAAGGAGAAGTTGATTATTATTATTATGTTTTATAGTAAAATCAGAAGTAAGATTCCACATAACTCTAGCAGCACCTTGTGAAACATCATATCTACCGCTTTATTAACTCTGAACGGCTTAAATAACCTTAATTCCCTCCAACCTGACACAGCCAAACAAAACAACGGAAGTTTCAATTTTGCCATGGAACAGAACGCATAGTCGGTTTTGCAGCTGGCCGCGGGTCGCCTCCCGTGTGTCAGGTAATAAAAGTGACAGCGACGAATTTCGCTGATTGCAGTCGTTTGTCGCCTCCCGTGTGTCGAGCCCATAATAAAACTAATTCTGCCTGTGGGGAATTAAAACAAAAGTACAAATAAGTAGGGATGTTCCACTGGGCAAAGAATGCTGAGTTCTGGACCAAAATAAGGACCTTCAAAAGGTTCAAACTCTAAACTGGGTGGATAAGCCAAACTCAAGGTGATATTTTAAACTAAACCGAAAACCCACAACACTCTAAATATAATAAAAGGGAGATCTGCACCACAAAAAAGATGAACTCTAAACCAAAACGTAACAGCTTATCCAAACGCAAGAAGCTGTTGGTAAAGCTACTGTTAGCATTTTCACTAACGTTTAGTTCAAGTTACCAAGTTTAAATTAACCAAAAACACCCAGCAGCAAACAGACCAGCACGGAGGAGAGACTGCTACCACAAAAACAGCTCTCCTAATGTCTGAAAGAAGCTCCTTTATGAAGGGAGAAACTACGGTGGCCCTGAAGTCCAAACCACAAAAACAAATCACAAAATGCACAACAAATTGAAAAGCGCAAAAACAAATTCACTAAATGCAACAAAAAATCACTAAGCTCAAAAACAAATCACTAAACGCACAACAAATTGAAAAGCGCAACAACAAATTCACTAAACACAAAAACAAATCACTAAACACACAACAAATTGAAAAGCGCAACAACAAATTCACTAAACACAAAAACAAATCACTAAACACACAACAAATTGAAAAGCACAACAACAAATTGAAAAGCCTAACAACAAATCACTAAACACACAACAAATTGAAAAGCACAACAACAAATTGAAAAGCCTAACAACAAATCACTAAACGCACAACAAATTGAAAAGCGCAAAAACAAATTCACTAAGCACAAAAACAAATCACTAAACGCACAACAAATTGAAAAGCGCAAAAACAAATTCACTAAATGCAACAAAAAATCACTAAGCGCAAAACAAATCACTAAACGTACAACAAATTGAAAAGCGCAACAACAAATTCACTAAACACAAAACCAAATTGAAAACCACAAAAACAAAACCCAAACCGGAAAAGGTAGGTACCAATGCTGCAACAACAGGCATCACTGATTGGATGACGGATCCGTTGGCCTTTTGAACCGTAAGTTGTTCTGCCGAATGTGTATTCTTTTAAAACTTTATTTAACAAACAATGAGTATACAACAGTGTCCGAATCATCGACATACATATATCCGAATACATATGTCTGAATCCACAGGCAGGATGCTTACGAGTACGGGTCCTCGTCAGTTTAGCAAGGCCGGGTCCTTGCCAGACCGCTAAGACTGGAACAGAGTGGCTCTGAATTCGGAGAGTCTAGCCTTCACCTCTACGGTGGCCTGTAGGTCCCGTCACAGCTGTGGCGGCAGCTACATGCAAAGGAAAAATGCTAAAGCTAGCGAAAATCGAGTAGGAATATTTAGGAGCTACAGCAGCTTCACGTCCATCAGCAGCGTTTGTTCACAGCCGTTTTCAGGTGAAGTAATTTTGTTTATTCTAGAAGCTTTCAGGACTTACATGTTAACTTTAGATGGTTTCATGTATGTTTTAAGCTACATAATGAACTTGTTAAACATACACAACACATTACTACAGAGTATTATCATGTAGGTAATTAATATAAACCTTCGTCTTCGTCTTCGTCTTCCTCCGCTTATCCGGGTCCGGGTCGCGGGGGCAGCATCCCAATTAGGGAGCTCCAGGCCGTCCTCTCCCCGGCCTTGTCCACCAGCTCCTCCGGCAGGACCCCAAGAAGTTCCCGGACCAGATTGGAGATGTAACCTTTCCAACGTGTCCTGGGTCGACCCGGGGGCCTTCTGCCGGCAGGACATGCCCGAAACACCTCCCCGGGGAGGCGTCCAGGAGACATCCTGACCAGATGCCCAAACCACCTCAACTGGCTCCTTTCGATCCGGAGGAGCAGCGGTTCTACTCCGAGTCCCTCCCGAATGTCCGAGCTCCTCACCCTATCTCTAAGGCTGAGCCCGGCCACCCTACGGAGGAAACTCATTTCGGCCGCTTGTATCCGCGATCTCGTTCTTTCGGTCATTACCCAAAGCTCATGACCATAGGTGAGGATTGGGACGTAGATCGACCGGTAAATCGAGAGCCTGGCTTTCTGGCTCAGCTCCCTCTTCCCCACGACAGATCGGCTCAGCGTCCGCATCACTGCAGACGCCGAACCAATCCGCCTGTCGATCTCCCGATCCCTCCTACCCTCACTCGTGAACAAGACCCCGAGATACTTAAACTCCTCCACTTGAGGTAGGACCTCTCCCCCGACCCGGAGGTGGCAAGCCACCCTTTTCCGGTGGAGAACCATGGTCTCAGATTTGGAGGTGCTGATCCTCATCCCAGCCGCTTCACATTCGGCCGCGAACCTACCCAGCAAGAGCTGAAGGTCAGAGCTGGATGAAGCTAGGAGGACCACATCATCCGCAAAAAGCAGAGACGAGATTCTCCTGCCACCAAACTCGACACACTCCACACCACGGCTGCGTCTAGAAATTCTGTCCATAAAAGTGATGAACAGAACCGGTGACAAAGGGCAGCCCTGGCGGAGTCCAACCCTCACTGGGAACAGGTCCGACTTACTACCGGCTATGCGGACCAAACTCACGCTCCTCTGGTAAAGGGACTGAATGGCCCTTAACAGAAAGCCACCCACCCCATACTACTGGAGCGTCCCCCACAGGGTGCCCCTGGGGACACGGTCATAAGCCTTCTCCAAATCCACAAAGCACATGTGGATTGGTTGGGCAAACTCCCATGCCCCCTCCATCACCCTTGCAAGGGTATAGAGCTGATCCACAGTTCCACGGCCAGGACGAAAACCACATTGCTCCTCCTCTATCTGAGATTCAACTATCGATCGGACCCTCCTCTCCAGTACCTTGGCGTAGACCTTTCCAGGGAGGCTGAGGAGTGTGATCCCCCTATAGTTGGAACACACCCTCCTCCTTGAACCGTCACCTTACCGTGGTGGAGGAGTTTGAGTGCCCTAATGATCCTAGGAGCTATGTTGTCTGGGGCACTCAGTGCCCCTGGTAGGGTCTCCCATGACAAATTGGTCTTAGGTGAAGGGTGAGACAAAGAACGGTTCGAAGGATCTTTCATGGCGGTTAAAACGAAGAGTCGGAGTACCCGGCCCGGAGGGTTACCGGGGTCCCACCCTGGAGCCAGGCCTGGGGTTGGGGCCCGTGAGCGAGCGCCTGGTGGCCGGGCTTTCGCCCATGGGGCCCGGCCGGGCCCAGCCCGAACCTGATACATGGGCTCGTCCAACTGTGGACCCACCACCCGCAGGAGGAACATGAAGGGTCCGGTGCAATGCGAATCGGGTGGCAGACCAAGGCGGGAGCCTTGGCGGTCCAATCCCCGGACAAGAAAACTAGTTTTTGGAACATGGAACGTCACCTCGCTGGCGGGGAAGGAGCCGGAGCTTGTGGCAGAGGTTGAGCGGTACCGGCTAGATATAGTCGGACTCACCTCGACACATTGCATTGGCTCTGGAACCCGAGACCTGGAGAGGGGTTGGACACTCTACTTTGCTGGAGTTGCTCCGGGTGAGAGGCGGAGGGCTGGGGTTGGCTTTTTGTTAGCCCCGAGACTCTCTGCCTGTGTGTTGGGGTTTACCCCGGGGGACAAGAGGGTAGCTTCCTTGCGCCTTCGGGTCGGGGAACGGGTCCTGACTGTTGTTTGTGCTCATGGGCCAAATATCAGTTCAGAGTACCCACCCTTTTTGGAGTCCCTGGGACGAGTGCTAGATAGTGCTCCATCAGGGGACTCCATTGTCCTGCTGGGGGACTTCAATGCTCACGTGGGCAATGACAGCTTGACCTGGAGGGGTGTGATTGGGAGGAACGGCCCACCTAATCTGAACTCGAGCGGTGTTTTGTTATTGGACTTCTGTGCAAGCCGCAGTTTGGCCATAACGAACACCATGTTCGAACATAAGGATGCCCACCGGTACACTTGGTACCAGGGCAGCCTAGGTCACAAGTCGATGATAGATTTTGTAGTCGTATCATCTGACCTGCGGCCGTATGTTTTGGACACCCGAGTGAAGAGAGGGGCGGAGCTGTCAACTGATCACCACCTGGTGGTGAGTTGGATCAGATGGCAAGGGAACATGCCGCGTAGACCTGGCAGACCCAAACGCATAGTGAGGGTCTGCTGGGAACGCCTGGCAGAAGAACCTGTCAGGACGGTCTTCAACTCCCACCTCCGGCAGAGCTTTGACCACGTCCCGAGAGCAGTGGGGGACATTGAGTCCGAGTGGGCCTTGTTCCACTCTGCGATTGTCGAGGCGGCTGTTGCTAGCTGTGGTCGTAAGGTGGCCGGTGCCAGTCGTGGTGGCAACCCCCGTACCCGCTGGTGGACACCAGAGGTTCGGGTAGCCGTCAGGCTGAAGAAGGAGGCCTACAGGGCGTGGCTGGTCTGTGGGTCTCCGGAGGCAGCAGACAGGTACCGGATAGCCAAGCGGGGTGCAGCAGTGGCAGTTGCCGAGGCAAAATCTCAGGTGTGGGAGGAGTTTGGTGAGGCCATGGAGAAAGACTATCGATCGGCTCCAAAGAGGTTCTGGCAAACTGTCCGGCGCCTCAGGAGAGGAAGGCAGCAACTCGCTCACACTGTTTACAGTGGGGATGGGGAGCTGCTGACGTCAACTGAGGCTATAGTCGGACGGTGGAAGGAATACTTTGAGGAGCTCCTCAATCCCACCAATGCGCATTCCGAGGAGGAACCAGAGCTGGGAGGCCTGGGGATGGACTGTCCGATCTCGGGGGCAGAAGTTGCTGAGGTAGTCAAACAACTACACAGCGGCGGAGCCCCGGGGGCGGATGAGGTTCGTCCTGGGTATCTCAAGGCTATGGATGTTGTAGGGCTGTCATGGTTGACACGTCTCTACAACATTGCGTGGTCATCGGGGGCAGTTCCTAGGGAGTGGCAGACCGGGGTGGTGGTCCCCATCTTTAAGAAGGGTGACCTAATATAAACCAAATGCATTAAAATGTTGAATGCAGTACGATGCTTTCTAATGTAAATTGGACCTTAGAACTTATTTTGCATCAAATGGGGGTAAAACGTTTTAAAAAACAGGCTTTTTAATAAAATAGCATTGAACTGTTTTCAATGTGCATTTGTTTATTCAACTTAGAAGAAGAAGAAAGTATCATTTCTATAGCGCCTCTCAAGATTAAAATCACGAGGCGCTTCACAAAAACAAAAAATGTAAAAATATAAAAAAGTATTTAGAAAATGATTAAAAATATATTTAAAATGAGCAAAAAATAGACAAATTGTGATTAAAAAATGTTAAGAAAGACAGAGAGTGAACAGGAAAGAGGGAAATCAGTGTATCCTGAGGAAGGTGGAATAGGTGGGGAAAACAGAATAAAGAGAGTTGTGAAGAAGGTCATACAAAAGCCAGCTTGAACAAGTGAGTCTTCAGCTGCTTTTTAAAGGAGACCACTGAGTCCACTGATCTCAGGCTCAGGGGGAGAGAGTTCCAGAATCTGGGGGCCAGTGCAGCAAATGATCTGTCACCTTTGGTCTTTAGCCTGGTGCTGCACAACCAGTAGGCTTTGATCACTGGACCTCAGGGACCTGCTGGGGGTGTAGGGACTAAAGCCTCACGTAAGCCTAACAATGATTAGATCGGTCTTAAAAATGTAAATTCTCTGTAGTTTTCCCTGCTGCTGTTCTTTAAACTGATCAGAACCAGTGTACTGCAGGTTATATGTTTTGTTTTACATTTTTCAATTAAAAAAAACCCTCTTTTTTAATCTATTACAAGTCAGCATACACTGTGTTGCACATCTGCCTCTGTGCTGGTGAAGTTGTAGGTCTGGAGGATGAGCGTGAGGAAGATGTGTGTAGAGGAGGTCAGTGGTGCTCTGTCCTGAAGGAGGTACCAGCAGACCACCACTATTGTTAACAGGCAAGTCATTCATAGAGATGTAACAGCCGTCGTCTGAGCCAGCCCAGCAGGCCCTGTAGATGGACGATGGAGTGGACAGTGAGAGGAAACGTCCCAAAGCTCTCTCTGCAGACCGTCCTGTATGATGTTCCTCTGACCAGAAACGTCCAGCCACGGGTCTGCTCCAGCCCTCCATCCACGTCTGGATCCTCCTGCAGCAGATCCAGCTGCACTGTTAAAGACTTCCTGCTCACTCAGTTTAAATAAATGATCCAGGAAGAGTCATTCAGGTTAATCCTGCTTTAACCGTACATAACTGGTCCATACTGGTTTGATCTGTAAATAAGTGTAACGTATTATAAACAATCTTGTCTCCTTATCATCTTTTAATTTTCTGTTCATGTAACATGTTCAAAAACATCTGTAATAATAAAACTGGTGATAAAATCAATGACCAGAAAGAGTTATCAGTTAGTATTTGTTTTAATAAATGTGTTCAAATATCAAACAGCTAAATAACATTAACATGATGACAGTAGAAGGCTTCTCTCCCAGGAGGACCACCAGGTAAAGCCTCTCCTGAACCTGGACACCTGCAGTCCTACAGAGAAAATCAGAGACCACAGGTGACAAAAAGGCAATAAACACATTTTTACATTTATCCACATGAGAAGATAAAAATTATATTCTTCACACAAACTTTTTACTTCATTATAACGTGTCAGCTGTGTAAATCCCCAAATGTAAAACTACTTTTCACAGAAGAACTTCTGTGGTTGTGTGTGTAAACAGCTTCACTCTTCACCTCTAAGCTTAATAATAAAGCTTCTTTGCTCCGTTGTCCTTAAAACAAGTGGAAAGTTTAATTCGACACACACGCACTCACTCACACACACACACACACACACACACGGGAATAACTGGGACCTGCGAAACAAACTCGTTCTGGGTGATTTCTGCCTAAAATATAATGTTAAAAACAAATGTACAAACTAAAAATGTCTATAAACTGAACCGCTTTAAGCTTTTTAGGTTTCTACGGCATTTATAATGCATTTGGTTTATATTAATTACCTACATGATAATACTCTATAATGTGTTGTGTACGTTTAACAAGTTCATTCTGTAGCTTAAAACATACATGAAACCATCTAAAGTTAACATGTAAGTCCTGAAAGCTTCTAGAATAAACAAAGTTACTTTACCTGAAAACGGTTGTGAACAAACGCTGCTGATGGACATGAAGCTGCTGTAGCTCCTAAATATTCCTACTCAATTTTCCCTAGCTTTAGCATTTTTCCTTTGCGTGTAGCTGCTGCCACGGCTGTGACGGGACCTACGGGCCACCGTAGAGGTGAAGGCTAGACTGTCCGAATTCAGAGCCGCTGGGTTCCGGTCTTAGCGGTCTGGCAAGGACCCGGTCTGGCAAGGACCCGGTCTTGCTAGACCGGCGAGGACCCGTACTCGTAAGCATCCTGCCTGTGGATTCAGACATATGTATTCGGATATATGTATGTCGATGATTTGGACACTGTTGTATACTCATTGTTTGTTAAATAAAGTTTAAAAACGAAAAAAAAAATACACGTTCGGCAGAACAACTTCCGGTTCAAAAGGCCAACGGATCCATCATCCAATCAGTGATGCCTGTTGTTGCAGCATTGGTACCTACCTTTTCCGGTTTGGGTTTTGTTTTTGTGGTTTTCAATTTGGTTTTGTGTTTAGTGAATTTGTTGTTGCGCTTTTCAATTTGTTGTTGCGTGTTTCAATTTGTTGTTGCGTTAAGTGATTTGTTTTTGTGGTTTGCACTTCAGGGCCACCGTAAGAAACGCTCCCGGTGATTTTCTACATCTGCGGTAGAGACGAAGCAGCGCATTTGACCCCGGAAGTTGTTTTCCGTTGCTGGGAGATGAAGGCGGGCAAAACAGGAAAGGAATCTAGAAGCGGACAGACATTGTTCCGAGTCTTCGGTATTTGGCAGAGATGTGAGTGAAGGCGGAGAAGAGGGCGAACTAGAGGAAAAACTTGCAGGTTCCTCCTCTATTTACATACTCCTGGGGATGCAAGTGGGCGTGGTGCGTCGACTACCGGATCTGACGTCGACGTATTTTTAGAATCGAGCCGTCGATGTCATCGAGGCTTCGCTACAGCTCTACATGTGACACAACAAACTTATTGGGAATTTCACAAGAGCAAACAATGGTGTGCTTGGTTTGAACGTAACTTTATTCTTTGTCAATTTTGACCTATATATCGACCTGCATAGTGACTGGTCATCTACAGAACTAATTCCACTGTTTAGGTGGATTTCTATTCGATCTTCTAACATCCAGAAGATTCTGCAGTGCTTGTTGGCAGTCCATGAAGACAAGATTGTCAAACTTATCTCAGACTGCTGGATTCCACACTCTGAATGAAAAGTGAACTTTATCCACTGAAAAGTGAAGATTCTTTAGCCACAGAACAAGAACAGCTTGTATCTGGAAGGTGTGGTTTTCTGAGGTATGTTTGGTAAAGTCTACAAACATGTCAAATTCTGATTCGCAGAAATCATAACAATTGGATTATTAAAACTAGAGGGACTTCCCGAGTTAAAGCAGAAGACCTGCAGGCCTCTGTGAGTTAAAACCAAGCCCCCACAATGCGGGACAGAAATTGAGGCCAATGCGGAGTGAAATAAATTGCAGTTTCACCCTCATCCGCTGGGGGCTGGTGTCAGAAGCGAGCAAATCCTCATTGACTCCCATGTTAAAAATGCTAATTTCACAGCAGAAATAAACATGTTTACAGCCTGGTACCAAAACATGTTTTTGGTTTAAATTATCTAGTTTACACTCATGACAACTCTGAGGGGGGTGAATTTTTTTCTCACTCTTCTGTTTAAGTGTATTAAAAGCCTAAAATTCTGTATAATTAATGAGCATCTGGCACACGTGACCACAGAGCTAGCTCCGTGGAAAGGCCTCGGTAGAGCCTCGGTCTGGCCTGAAAACTGTTCCGTCATTTTCAGTCTCTCAACTTAGACCATTAGTTGTAGCGTTTGTGCGTTCTTTTTTTGGATATTTTTTGTGCAATTGTTGGACAAAATGACTTGCTGTGGCATTAATTGCACTAATAGAGCATCCAAGGAGTCTCAACTTCATTTTTTTCGGTAAGTGCAATTATATTTATGTGTTTTAGGTCACTGCCGAGCTGAGCTTAGATTTTAACATGTACTGTTTAACCATGAAATTTAAATGTAATAGGGTAAAACCCAGTGCATTTAACATAATGCTGCACTTTAGAAAATGGGTTGAAATATAACATGTTGGTGGAGCTGGTTTCCGACTATCGGCTTGTGGAGCTCTCGGGAGACCTCTGTGTTCCACCCGGTTTTACTCAGCGATCAGCCCGGCGTATATCTGACTCAGAAGCTCTGGTGTTGTGCATAGTTAACTCCGGTTGTAGCTAGGTTGCTACCTCCATTAGCTTAGCTCCCACCTCCGCGTTAGCTTCAGGTTAGCTTGTAGCTAGTTCGACTGGGTGTCGTCAGTTGATCCCAGCCTTACAGCCCCACCCTCAGCTCCACCTCTCTTCCCTTTTGTGGAATTGTCTGGACTTGACGGAACCTGTGACACGGTCAAAATGGCGGTGGTGGCCACCTCCCATTTCCCCTCAAAAACGTGTTATTGGAGCCCATGGAAATTAATTGTCCAGGATATATGTCAATGATTAAAACATCCAAATACGGTTTCAGGTGTAAACATTGTGCTCCATCCCTGTGTTTGAACTCAGAAGTTGCTTCTTGATGCCACAGATATGTGATGATTTAGCTTGTTTCTTTATTTTACTCCAGAATAAGAGATTAAAGTATTACTAAAGCAGTTCAATGTAGTTAAATTAGTCATTCAAAAGATTCTAACATGCTGCAGTGTGTGTGTGTGTGTGTGTGTGTGTGTGTGTGTGTGTGTGTGTGTGTGTGTGTGTGTGTGTGTGTGTGTGCGCGTGTGTATTACACATATAGGACTGCATGAGACCGCGTGGTTTCATCAAATCCATGCATCTTATTTCTTGATTGAAGTAATGGTGAACAAAAATAACTTATATTTCATAAATAATGACATCTCAATAGTGTCTATGATAATATTTTATCTTATCTTTGGTCTGGGAGGTGTAACATATCATGATACAAGCCTTTTAAAACATGTTAAAGTGTTACAAGAGGAGAAAAATGCATGAATTTAAAGTTCATGTTTGGAGACCAACCTTCACAGATTGGAGGCTCACGCTGGTGAGGACGAGACACCGTTAGTTCTAGTAACACCTGGGCTCCCAAGGCCTATTCTGACAGGATGGACGTTACGGGACCCTTAAGGATTCCAGTTGGATGATTGGAGGATTATTTAGGAGGATTGGAATGAACACACGGATTTCAGTGGTGAAGGGTTAAATGAATGAGTGAACCCACTACCAAGGATGAACTCAGCTAACTTTAAAAATCGGAGAGGAGCTCTAGGATGAACATGGATAAAGGAACTGTAATGTAGAGGTAAAGTAGGGCAGGGCCATCGTTAGCAGCTGTCATATGGTCTATTTGAAATGGCTTGTTATGTTATGTGACAGGTTAGAGCACAGTCTCATGTTAGAGTTTTGTCATGAAAACATTTGAGATACCTCACATGCTGATGGCATCTAAAAAAATATCGTTTTTTTCTCAAAATAATGAATAATTTTTAATCACAATTATGTACAATCCTAGAAAAACCTCATCCAATCAATGTGCACGTCCTGCTCTCACTGATTGGATAGAAATCCCTCCATCAAACTGTGTGTGTGTGTGTGTGTGTGTGTGTGTGTGTGTGTGTGTGTGTGTGTGTGTGTGTGTGTGTGTGTGTGTGTGTGTGTGTGTGTGTGTGTGTGTGTGAGTGCGCGCAAATTGTGAACTGGCGTTGTGATTTTGCACTACTTAGATGTAAGCATCACTACGCTGACAAAAATGTAACTAAGTAAGTTTTAATTTGAGTACATTTTATTTATGATACTTTTTACTTTTGCTTGAGTAAAAATTTAGGCAAGTACTTTTACTTGTACTTGAGTAAAAAATTATCAAAGTACTGGTACTCATACTTAGGGTTGTCACGGTAACCAATGTAGCGGTAAACCCCAGTAAAAAAATTGACGATAATAATAACCGTTTTGGTTTTTGAAAAATATATTATCTCGGTGAATTACCGTGGCTGCGGTGTAGGCGCGGTGACCCTTAGCATCCACCGTATCATCTGCTGAAGTTGCCGGCGGCACATGCGCACTTTGTTGTTTACAACCAAAACTTTCTTGAAGCTAAAGCTGAAATAATGGCCAAAGCAGGAGACGGCAGTGCTCAGTACATTTATTATCCCTCAAAGAAGACAAAGTGGGAAGTACGGGCATTTTGTGGATATTTGAAGAATACCGAAGGACATTTGATAGAAGACGGCTATCTTGTTTGCAGCACGTGCAGAAAAAGTGTCTGTGAAAGGCAGCATTGCTTCAAATCTCATGACACATCTGCGTGACCATCACCCACAACTCTACAGTCAACGCAAGGCAAGCTAACATTAGCGTTTTAGCTAAAATGCGTGATCCGAGGATTTGGGTTGAGGGAGAATGCAACGAGTCGCTATATAAAGCAGCCGCAGCGCCGCTACCTGCATATGAACCGTGTCGCGGACACCCCCATGTTGAAATGACGCTATGCATTACGGGGCTCCCAGGGGCAGATAAGAGTTGGTCTCTCTCTGAGAATAATTATGAATTTAACAATGATTACTGCCTGATGACATTTTCCCACATCTGCAAAGCTCACTGGAAGAACACAAACCCGAGGACAATATTTTCCTGATATAGGGTTTATTACTCAAGGGTAAAAAAAGTATCTGATTAGAAGGCTACTTGAGTACTGAGTATCATCTGATCTAATATTTTTATAATGATGACATCAAATAGACATAAAATAAGAAGTTACGGGAAAATATTGGTATTTTAAAGACTAAAGGGAAAAAATGTCAACAAATAAACAACATAATTACAAAATAACACATTTTAGGCTAAATTTAGACATAAACTGAGGACAATATTTTCCTGACATACAGGGTTTATTTGGTTGTCTGAAAATGTAACACGTTTAAAAAAATACAGTGATAATACCGAAAACCGTGATAAATTTGGTCACAATAACCGTGAGGTTAAATTTTCACACCACGACAACCCTACTCATACTTAAGTAGGAAATTTTTGTACTCTTTCCACCTCTGGTCACCTGACACAAACCGATTGAAAACATGCAGGACGGGGGCGCTGAGGACCAGGGTTGAGAAACCCTGTCTTAAACAGACAAAACAAGTCCAGTTGCCTAACCCTTTGGGATCACCATGAACAGGTGACCAAATTCTGTGACCCATCACAATTTGTGACCCCAGGGGGTGGTGTTGCGTTTTCTTGAGTCTGTACATCCTGAATAGGCATAAAAGAAGAAGATACTACATAAAAACCGTAAACTATGTAAGCTTTAAGGAAGTTGTGCGGCGCGGACATAGACATAAATATACGGGCGTGGACCATGATCACACAATATGATAGTGCCTATCACAGAATGTGACCATCTGCATCGCAGTAATAATGCAGATGTCAGAGGTCAAATGCACTTTTTTATAAACTACATCATCAGAGAAGTTACCAGAAACAGTTTGTGTGATGTAAAGTCCTTATAACTGAAGTTACAGTAAGGCCACACAATATGATAGTGGCTATCACAGAATGTGACCGTCTGCATCTCAGTAATAATGCAGATGTCTTTAATTTTCACTAAAGATAATAACAGCAAATAGCGTTTCGTGATGTTTGTGTTATTTTATTTCCCTTTTATTTCCACCAGTACATATGAGTGGCTTTGGAGTGACAGGGGGAAAAAACGTAGTAACCAGATAATCTGCAGTGGTTTCTAATAAACGGAGGATGTGGATCACAACAATTTATTTCAATAAATGAAAGTTCTGTTTTTCCTGCGGACCTCGCATGTTGTCCGCGCCGCACAACTTCCTCAAATCTTACGTAGTTTACGGTTTTAACGTAGCATCTTCTTCTTTTAAGCCAATTCATGATGTACAGAAGCAGCAAAACATAACACTGCCCCCTGGGGTCACAAATTGTGATGGGTCGCAGAATTTGGTGTAACACCTGATGACCGAGAACCTTCTCCAGGGTCTGTCGAATTTCCAGCGGTCAACTAACTTCACCGCGGAGTGAACGTGTAAAAAGTGAGGCACCGCACCGGTGTTATGCTGAGATGTGTCCCCCCCCCTTCAGTCTGGTGACTGAAGCTAACCGCGAGCTCCTGCTGAACCCTGTTTCTAACTCAATACGACCAGATCATAGAAAAGAAGGAGAACAGCAGAACACGACGTCTACAAACTCACCTGCTGGTCGCACTCAGGACAGGACTTAGTGGCCATTTTGACCTTCTTTGTTCTATTAGCCGACATAGCGCGTTTCCTCCGGAGACACTCGGTCGCTTCTTGGGGTGATGAACAAACAGGTCCCGGTGTCCCAGTAACATTCATCCATGCATAGCAGAAACCGAGCTGGGAGTTAAATACAAACCCAACATATCTGGACAGAAATAAAGTATGGCGGATGTGAGCATGCGCACTACGTGTTTATTTGTGGCGCCGCATCCTAGAGCAGTACCATAGATATCATATATATTAGCTAGATCCCCCACCCGCGCTGTTCGTCAATGGACGTCCATACGCGGCGGCCATCTTACTTCGGACAGCTGCCCTCTTCGCTGGTGTTTAGTGGTGTCTCCTCACCAGCATGTACTATTTAAACAACTCTTAACTTTCTCAATTTTCAACCGATTTTCATACGGTTTAATTTTTTAGAAACATTAGAGACATGGCAATGAAACACATCAGTTTTGGCAGGAAACTCTTCTTATTTCACTCCACTTTCCAGCTGTTTTCCTCTATCCTGTCAATTTCCCATTGACTTACCGTTTTAATGTCAACAAGATCTGCTTCTGATGAACTAGCTGTAGTTTGTAAACTGAGGTCAATTTATAAATATAAGTTTTAAGATACCTTATAACTTACCATATCAACTTATAAATACAAACTCAAATACCTGATTTAATTTACAGAAAATAGTAAAACAAACAAAAAAATGATAATAATAATAATAAACACACAGAAGCAGCAAAAAAAATTTAAAGTAAAAACACCCAGTCCTAAAAACAAAACAACTCTAGAACCTCATTGACTGAGAAAATATTTAACAAAAAGCCAAAAGAACATTTGTAAACCCTGCCTGCCTGCCTGCCTTTTCACCCGCGTTTGGATCCTTGCCTCCGCTTCACTCACCAGCACTCGTGACAGAATGAACCGACCTCCTAAAGGATCCAGCAGGGAGGTTCTCCCCTGGGAGTGCCTGCTCCAGTTCCTCACCTCGGACCACCGGCCGGCTTCTCATCCTCTGGCATTGCCTCGTCGCAGATGCTGCCGCCGAACCCCGGCCCTGTCTCCGGTCCAGTCAGCACCTCCTTCATTTGCAGGGGGAGGGACCACGCCTACAGCCCATTAGATGGAGCTCGCTGGCATCCAAGCGGAGCTCGGCCGGCTCCGTCAAATCATCAGCCTCCAGGAGTTCCAGCTGGACGCCCTATCCTTCTCGTATCTCCAGGAGGAGGTTTCTGTCCAGCCAGCGGCCCCGCCTCTGTTCCAGTCAGCAGCTCCCTCATCTCCAGGTCAAAGGACCGAGCCCGCAGCTCATCCAACAGAGCTCGCCGGCCTCCGAGCTGAGCTGGTCCGACTCTGTCTGATCTTCAGTCTCCAGGAGCGCCAGGTGGACAGTCTAGTCTCCCTGCGTTACCGGTTTCTGGCTCCACCAGGTCCCGCGCCACCAGTCCAGTCATTGCCCGGTCCCGCGCCACCAGTCCAGTCAGCGCCCGGTCCCACGCCACCAGTCCAGTCAGCGCCCGGTCCGGCGCCACCAGTCCAGTCAGCGCCCGGTCCTGCACCACCAGTTCAGTCAGCGCCCGGGCCCGCGCCACCAGTCCAGTCAGCGCCAGTTCCAGCGGTGGTCCGGGAGGCTCCGCCCCTGGGCCAGCCTGTCCAGAAGTCGGCAGTCCAGAAGTTGACGGTCCAGAAGTCCTGAAGTCGACGCCTCCGGACCTGAAGTCGACGCCTCCGGACCTGAAGTCGACACCTCTTCCCGTCCAGAAGTCGACACCTCTTCCCGTCCAGAAGTCGACACCTCTTCCCGTCCAGAAGTCGACACCTCTTCCCGTCCAGAAGTGGACACCTCCGGACCTGAAGTCGACGCCTCTTCCCATCCAGAAGTCGACACCTCTTCCCGTCCAGAAGTGGACACCTCCGGACCTGAAGTCGACGCCTCTTCCCGTCCAGAAGTCGACGCCTCTTCCCGTCTAGAAGTCGACGCCTCTTCCCGTCTAGAAGTCGTCGACGCCTCTTCCCGTCTAGAAGTCGACGCCTCTTCCCGTCTAGAAGTCGTCGACGCCTCTTCCCGTCCAGAAGTTGTCGACGCCTCCTCCAGCGTCTCTGCCTCTGGTCACCGCAGGTCCTGCCCTCGCCAGGCGCGAGCCTCCCAGAGCTCGTCATCGTCCCCTCCTCTGCCCCAGACGCAGGCCCCCCGGACTCTACTAGTCCCTGCCTCCTCTCCACCGGTCCCTCGGTTCCTCTCGGCCCTCCTTCCTGGTCCCTCTCCTCCCGCCCTGCTCTGTGTTCCTGTGGGTGTCTGGAATCCGCCCCTTGTAATAAGGCAAACCGTTTGTAAATCCATTCATATTTCATCGAGTTATGAGCTGTGAACTCACCCTCAGCTAGAGAATGGTTAGCTGTCTGAAGTAAGATGGCCGCCATGTAAGGATGCTGTCGACTCCCGTTAGGACATCTAGTTAATATTATATATTATATCTATGTACCCAACCATGGGTACGCATACCCCCTAGTGGTCTGTGAGCGCATTACAGGGGTATGCAGAAATATTAATATGTCATCATCACCCAGATGATGACGGCTCTGGTCCTGGTCAAACAGAAACATTGGGCTGGGATGTGTTATGCTTAACAAATAGCCAAATAAAGTAATGCATATGGTTGATATCATATTATCTGTTATCTATTTAGGCCAAATGTGACTATGCCTGAATTTTGTCAAGCTGTGTCAGCTTTGGAGAGGCTGCTGCAGCTCAGAGCGCGTGGATTCAGGAGTACTGAAGGCGGGGGAACATCGGTTTTACGGACCTGATTTAGGTTTCAGGAGCTGATGTTTACCAGAGAAACATCCTCAGTAAATAAATCTGGAAACAGTAAACTCATATCAGCGTTAACAGCTCATTAACACTAATCCCTTAAATGCAGTTTGTTGTTGTTGTTTTTTAACACAGAGACTTCCAAACTTCTGGAAATCTCCTGTGATTTAGTTTGACCAAATTTCCACCCGCAGCGGTTTCTCTCATTAAAAACGTGAGCTTTTTTGCAGCTCTCTCCGTGTCTATCTGTCTTTCTCTCTCTGTCTCTCTCTCTGCGGTCAGTGCGCACCGCTCCTCTGACCTCTAACCCCAGACCCGCTGGTCAGAGTGTCGCTCAAACACGGGCAGAGAAGAAGAATAAACCTTCAACTTTATAAAAACGCAGCAAATCATTTGAACCTGCAGTTCCTCACTAGTGAAGCAACACTTCACTGATAAAATGAAAAACATGAAAAGTAATTAAATTTATCAGGAAAACATGTTATTTCTGTTTTTACATTTTTCACTTTAGTAGAAACTATGTATAATTTTATGTTTTCATCACATTTAGCTTGTTTTTTATTTAAATATCATCATCTTTATTCATGAGGATTTGGTGTTGCATGGTTTGGAGAATAAATCGTAACACATCATAATAAGTACTAGAAAGTTGTTTTTTTTAAGTTTTGAACGTTAAATGTTCACGTTTTATTTGATCTGAAATTCATGTGCAAATGTAAAAAGCATTTCATTGTCATTCTGACATGAATGAATAAATAAATAGAAGAAAAGAATATATTGTGATATAGATTTTAGACCATATGGCCCATTCCTATCCAAATTAATAATAAACCAAGCCCCCCTGTCCTGCATGTTTTCCATCATGTCTCTGCTTCAGCCCACCTGATTTACATATCTGCATTACCTTCATTACCTTCTCAGGATGACATCAAGTGCTGCAGAAACCTGTTAATCACTCATTCATTTAGATCAAATGTGGGAGCAGGGAAACACCTAACGTGGGAGCAAGGGGCGCTGAGGACCAGGGTTAAATGCTACATGAAGGAAAAACTGGAGCAGGGCTGCAGCTGCTACTGAGAGAGGGCCTGAAGCCTCGATCACATCAAATGCAGAATGGATACGATCCAGTTTCACATGGATGTGAAATGATTGAGTCCAGTCAGAGCATTTACTCCAGCTGTGGTGGGGATCCAGATGCAGAGCTCCAGAAAGTTTCCACATGGCGTCTGGACCCTGCATGAGGATTGTTAAAGTTAAATAATTCACCTGAGCCAGACAGGAAGTGAGATGTGGTTCAGGGTTAAGGAGATTTAATGAAATTATGTTTATTTAATAATCAGTTGTACGTTCTACTTTTGGGGAATCGTTACCACATTTGACTAAGGGGGTACTCGTGGTTCGAGAAAACGACTCAGGGGGTCCACGAGTCAGAAAAGGTTGGGAAACACTGCCCTAAAGACTATTATCCTAGTGTCTGTCTCTGGTCCTGCATCTGCCACAGGGAGATGCAGGATCTAGTTATCCAGAAAAAACGCTGCCTGGCCGCGGCCGAGGAGCTCGGGTGATGAGCGCAGCAGCGATGCGCGTCAGCCACGGACAAAAGACAGAAAGAACAAAAACAGTTATGAACGATCGTGTGTTAAACATATTTTGGTGGTGCTGCTTTGAGGATGTTACTGTGGCCGAGCACAAGACGCCGGTGGAGCGCATGAGTGCTTTGCCTCAGTTCATCTTCTCCGCTCAGAAGACTCCTCGATGCTGAGAGTCCATAACATGGGTCGAAACTTGATCATTTTTTTGGGCTCAGTAAATGATGGTTTAGTAAGTAGTAACTTTTATTTCTATAGCACTTATCACAGACATAGAATCACAAAGTGCTTCACATAGATCAAAACAAAATAAAACAAAGTCATGAAATCATAATGATCTCAAAACAGAAATAGATTAACATCAGAAAAAATAAAGTCATAAAATTATAAAATTTCATTAACAGATGAAAGATAAAAATTTGAGTTCAAAATAAGAAAATAAAAGGTTTAGTTAAAAGAGCTTTAAATAAAAGGGTCTTTAACTGTTTTTTAAAAGTGTCCAGACTGTCAGCGCTGCGTAAGGATAAAGGAAGATCATTCCAGAGTCGGGGTGCAACAGTCTGGAAGGAGCGATCACCTCCACTTTTATATCTGGTCTTTGGAACATCTAGAAGGCTCTGGTGTGTGGACCTGAGGGCTCGGGTTGGAGCATAAGGTTTTTATTTATTTTATTTTATTTTTCGTGTCCTGTCTGGCTGTGAAGCAAACAGAATTGATGTCTGAGTGCTGGTAACAAGCCTTACAGATTTACTCTCAGGTGCAGCATCAAAGCGTCCAAGGCCGGATTAACCATATGGGCAACTGGGCAATTGCCCAGGGCCCACAAACTTTAAAGGGCCCAGGGCAGCAAGGGCACGAGCAGAATACTATATCTGTAATCTCCTGCTTTATATGA